ATCCTCCCCCCCCTCCATGCCACACATCCTATCCCCAGTCCACTCCTGCACCTTCCCTCGCTCTTGCCACCTCCCCTGGCCAGACAGCCTGCTCCTGCACCCCACCTCCCATCCAGACCTCATACCCTCATCCCCTCCTGCACCCCACGTTCTGACCACACATCAGTTGGGGGGAGGTTTGAGCATCAGTGGTTTGAGCATTGGCCTGCTAAACCCAGGGTTGTGAGTGCAATCCTTACGGAGGCCATTTAGGGATTTGGGGCAAAAATTTGTCAGGGATGGTACTTGATCCTGCTGTGAAGGCAGGTGACTGAACTCGATGACCTTTCAAGGTCCCTTCCAGTTCTAGGAGATAGGCCATCTCCATTAATTTATTTATTTACCAGATCCTGCACCTCCATCCCTCTTGCTGACAACCTTGTCCTGCACACTGAACACCCCCACCCCTGTATTTTTGTCCCAAGCCCAGGGGAGGTCCACAGAATCCACTAACCCGGGAACCCCAGAAGACTAAATCTGGCCTATGGGAAGCCCAGAGCCTCAGTCCTTCCTGTCCCTCCAACGGTGGGGCTGGAATGCCACAGGAGTGAAGTGTCTCAGTTGGGGGGCCACATGAGTGAGGGTTGGGGGTTTACTTGTGTTGTTCTCAACTGTTTTTTCTATGGGTCAGTGGCCCCCCAACCCAAAAAAGTTTCACCACCCCTGCCATAAATAAAGAAAACATGGGAACCTTTTGTGTTGGACATAAACTAATATTTTACTTTATTTAAAATGAAGATTGATAAACTAACATGAGAAAGTTAAAGCGCTTAATCTGTTTGATAATTTAAATTAATATTTCCTTTTTTACTGGTTAAATTAAACTGTTCTACCTAGCTGCAGCACTAGCAAAATGGCTTGGGTGTAATTATATAATTAATGATGAGTTTCCATTAGCAACTGGACACGGAAGGCTTTGCATTGAGTGGGCTACAGGACAAAAAGTTTGAGAACCACTGCTTTTAACAGTTCAGAAAATTGCTAAATTTAAAAGTGTGTTCTTTTCCTTGTGTGCAAATGCTTAATTTGCATTAAATAAAATGTTCCCCAAATGGCTATTCAATCTTGATTCTCATGAGAGTGAAGTTAATTTTGGTACTGGGGACTTGTTCTCTTATGTGGCAAAGGGTCCCCAGAGTGAAATATGGAAAGACAGTCAGCTAATGACAGGTGAGACTTTCATCCACCTGGTTGTTCTTGGCTGCTAATTTGGGTTTTCCCCTTCCTTATAGCCAAACCTTGCAGCTTTCATTGCACCTGTATGTGTATATGTTATATCTAGGAGAGGACAACGAACAGCTTGGTTTTACTTGCTAGCATTGAAATGTCCTGGTTACAGAAATATCACATTGCTTCCGTGATCCATAAACAGGAGAGGAGGAGGTTTAAATCAAAATTTTGGTTTGTCATATTGTTATAAATCTGTCCCAAAGAGATGGAGGCACCTGCACCCAAGTGTGCATGACATCTGCTAATTTCATACAAATCAGTAAAAATAGCTTTTTAAAGAATTTTACTTCTAATAAACTGTTTGTTTGTAGTACGACGCCTCAGGTATTGAGCCCAACCATTGCTGCTCCACCTAATGCACTGCCTCGAAGAAGTTCTCGCCTATTTACTAGTGATAGTTCTACAACAAAGGTAAGGAAGGGTGCATACCCTAAATAATTCATCCATGTTTTTGCTTTCTGCTTGTGATTATTCACTACTTTGTACAAAGCTCCCACTGAGTAATGTGTGAAGCAGCTGAAGAATTGGCTTATAACATATCGACTTCATGAAGCACATTTGGCTGCACATGATCGGGTGATGGCTTTAGTGCCTTAACACCTAGGTGTCTGTGTCAATGAACATTCACCCTGGAGTGTGCCTGGGGTCAGATTAGTAACTGATAGTCATCAATAGAACATATTTCAAGCAGATTACATTTCAATATGGGATTGCAAAAATTCAGTGATGATGATGCGTGTTCCTTCTCAAAGTGAGAGACTCCACCCAAGTAATTACTCAACAACTTCTGTAGTGTATGGCAATGCTTCTATAGTAGCCAGAAACTGACAGTAAACAAAGTGTTCCTAGCTAGTTTCATACTCCTCCCGGCACCTTTGGGGAAAAGTGCTGTTGTGTGAGAACACAGCCTGGTGACTCATCAGAGAAAGAGGTAGAGGTTTAGGTTGATGTCCAACTTGTAGCTAATCTTGTAAAATCACCATGCTATTCAGTGATACCGAGAGCTTTAATCAGGAATTGAAATGTATAGGAAAAGCAAAGTACTAAAATGTGAAGTGAATCAAAGGAAGTATCAAATGTGTCTTCTGATAATCTCTGAACCAATAAACTGGGAGGCCAGAGCAGGAGATGGGGACCTTGCAGTGAAAACCAGAAAAAAATAAAGCTAATACTTTTTCCTTTGTATTTCTTGCGTCCTTATTTTTGCTGAACTTTTGCTTTCAGTAGTAAGTTCCAGAGAGCCAGAGTGAGAGAGAACACTCGAATATCTCTTCTTCCCCTCCCCTGGCCTCCCACCCACAGCCTTTGAAAAAATAGGGATGGCCTACCTTTCCTGATCGATGAAAATGAAATTAGATCTCTGGATGAGAGGTGCAATATCATCAATATACTTGGTAAAGAGACTCTGTATGGTCCAGATACATATATTTGATAAACGACATGGATTAGAAACCTTTTTGGTCAAAGTCAGTTTACTCTCTTTCATTCAAGCTACTTGAAACCAAACCAAGAACCTCGGTGCAACATTGTGGTTGGAGTTAATGTGCATGTTTCATGCCTATGTTTAAGACCTTGTATCACTGTTATCTTTGTTGTTTTGTTTGTGTGTACATCTGTTAGACATCTTACTTTTTTAGTGAAATTGCAAACGAGCATGTCTGTATTCTTTGATTTGCAATCCACTTGCCTGTATATAAATCTAGATTTGAAACTTTTTCCTCTATTTATAGGAGAATAGTAAAAAGTTGAAAATGAAGTTCCCACCTAAAATTCCAAACAGAAAGACAAAAAGTAAAACAAATAAAGGAGGAATAACTCAGACAAATATAAATGACAGCCTGGAAATCACCAAACTGGACTCATCCATCATTTCAGAAGGGAAAATCTCCACTGTCACACCACAGATCCAGGCTTTCACACTACAGAAAGCAGCGGCAGGTTTGTCTGAACGCTCTCAGAATGTAATAGAGCCAAAGGTTGTTTTTCATTGCATTTGAAGGTTTAATGGGAACTACTGGTCACTCTAAAGTATGTTCGTTCTCTTCACTGCAGTGCCTTTTAGCTCTGAGTAAATAAAACTGCCACTTCGTAAATATGTAACCACCAAACTTCATTTAAATTGAAAGTATGTAATTGTATCATAGATAACAAGTGGGTAAGCGTAATCACTATTAATAGTCCAGCGAAATACAAAGTTACTGTAAAATCAAACTTCTAAATAGTTTTTTTTCTTGAATTGTACTTGTTATAAGAGTGATTTACACATTCACTGTGGATATTTTGTGTCATTCAGAACCAGCACAAAGCAGCCAAGTGTATTGGCTAGTTTCCATCAGTTTCTCACTTCTACATTCCCCTGCCCATCCTGTCAAATAGATCTAGTGAAACAAATAGCTTTTAAAAAAACAACAAAACTTAAATGGTCGCTTTTGCTGTTCTTCCTGACTTCCTGGATGAAGATGGACCCTAACGTTAACCAGAGAGGGTCACTGGCTGACCTACACTGAGCTCTACTTCAGTCATATTGAGAGTAGAAGGTGTCAGCTATCTTTTTTTTTTTTTTTTAAAGCAGTTGTTCATGGAATTCTCTGTAGCAAAACTTATAAATTTCTCCTTTGTCAACAGCATCCGGACAAACACTATGATGAAAATGGCAAAATATAGCCAATAAACCCTTTAAAATATTCTTCAGAATGTATTCGGTGCATGAGACTCAACAAGCTTTATGTATATAGAGGATCTGCGGTACATGTACACTGCATGAATATTTTAGTTACCTCATGTCTATACAAGCTGCACGGTATTTCAAAGTAACAGGCACGCTATTTTGCCATCCTGGTAAACCTCATTGCACGAGGGATAAGGGATGGCCCAAAATAGGGCATTATTTCAAAATTTGGTGCTCTGTAGATGTGCCAAATTTCAAAATAAGCTGATTCAAAATAAGATACACAATTTACGTAGTGCAAATTGCATATCTTATTTAGAGTTTAGGGTATTGTGTAGACGCTCCCTTTGACACTCAAGTCCATGTTAAAAAAAGCATTTGATACAAAAAAATTACCATATGTGAGGTGCCAAATTTCTTAAAACCATTTTTAATTCTTAACTAGTTTTGTTATTTCATTTCCTTGTGTATTCTCAGAATATCCATTTTGTGCTCAGAGCAAAGTGCTGTAATTTTAGGGAGGAAGTATTATATTATTCATACATAAAGCACGGGTTCTGCTACTTCAAGTGTACCTCTTGGCTAATCCTTAACTATATAATCACTTTGTAGATAAGTATATTCTATCTCTGGCTTGGCAGGTGGTGTTTCCTAGGTTTCACTACAAGACCTGGTACATAAAACCTCATGGCTGAACCAGGAGGAGTATATGATTCTGTGCTTGGAGTCCCTGCATGGTTTTCATAAGAATAGGGACCTCAGAATGCTGTTTGCCATAACACATAGTTCTTGTCTCCTTTTTATTTACTGTATTTTTCTCCTAGAAGGTTTGATGAGCCTTCTTCGTGACATGGGGAAAGGTTATTTAGCCTTGTGTTCGTACAACTGTAAAGAAGCTATAAACATATTAAGCCATTTACCTTCTCACCACTACAACACTGGCTGGGTGCTGTGCCAAATTGGGAGAGCTTACTTTGAGCTTGCAGAATATATGCAGGTAGGCATCGAACAGATACGTACTTGTATTTTAAATGTTTGTTTTACTTAGTTTTGTACAGAATATGCTGACTTCCTGTGAAACCTAAGGAGAGTCTACAATCGGATAGCTGTGTAAGCATCAAGTTTGAAGTACTTACTCCAGTTTCAGATTCATCTAGATTATTGTAGCCCTTCCAGTTTCTGAGGTGGAGAAATTGAGTTCTATGCTCTTTATTGTGTTTATGGGTCTTTTTTATGAAATATTAAAAACCAGCATTCATTCTCAGGGCTGAGAACTGACTTTGCTGGGCCCAGGGGGAGCCTGGCTCTGGGCTAGTGTTCCCTCTAAGCTGCAGGGCAACACAGCTTCACGGGCAATTTATCAGTCCTGCCTAGTCAGTCGTCTCCATGTACAAAGCCCTGAGCCTCTGACTAGGCGGGGCTTATTAATCAGCTCTGAAGCTGTGTTGCCCTGCAGCTTAGAAGGAACCCTGCTCTGGGCCCCCCAGAAGTGGTGGGGCCTCAAGCAGAAGGAGTGGTAGCCTCCCCCAGCCAGCCCTTCCACACTGCTGGAATGTGGCTCCGAAGGCAATTTAAAGGGCCCAGGCTTCTGGCCACTGCCAAGGTAGCGGCCACAGCAGCCGAAAGCCCCAGGCTCTTTTTAGTTGCAAGGCTCCAAGGCAGCTGCGCCCTTCCCCTCTCCTCCCTTGTTGGCCACCCCGTTCTTTCTAATCAGCGAAGATCCTTTGACATTTTTAATCAGAGTAGGGGTTTGCTCCAGGGTCTTTGGCCAAAATCTTGATTCCACACCACAGTTGCTTCCCTGCCACTGGTTGACTGTTGCCTCCATCACTGAAATGGGCTGTACCCATGAAAGCTCATGACACCAGCTACATGTTTTGTTAGTCTTTAAGGTGCTGCTAAACTATTTGTTGTTTAAGTTTTTCCAGTTAATTCTGAGTTCTTGTTTCAACAGTCCCATATCCCCTTTCATTTCCGATTTCCTAATCCTTACCTGTTAATTAATTTATAAGATGTGAATATAGTAGTTACAAAGTATACAGCTTATAAAACAAAAAATAAACTATATATGATATAGTTTAAAAAAAATTCCTTCTGAACCTCCCTTGCATCCTGAATACCTCCATGTACTTTGAATGTAAAGACACTCATAGTATTTCATGAAAGAATGCTATGGACCCCAGCAGTTTCTTAATGCTTTTTCTACTTGTCTTTTACCTTTGTTTCTGATCTGAGTACTATTATTTGGAATCTGTGAAAGGAACTTGAGTTGACATAGTAACACAAAATCAAGAATGAATTTTTGAGTAGACAAAGGCTGTATTTTCTTTATAGAAAAAAATAGCCCTTTATGGTACCTTACTTCCTAGTAAACAGCCTCACTACTTCTGGCACCGACCCATCCTTCTGCATTACAAGGGACATTTCTCAGGCTTTGCTCTCTTTCCTTTAGTTCGTTTAAAAAAAACTCCTGCAAGAGCAAGGTAGGTTGTGTCTTGAAAGGCTCCAGTAACTAGTGCAAATGCAGTCTTTGAAGTGTACTTTATTTGGATGACTAGGTAATGTGGTTAAAACCATTAAGCTATGCAGTATAAATCTTCATTAAATGAAATTCATAATGTCTTGATTTAATATTACAAATGTTACCCCTTTATCTTCATGCATTAGGATGGAGTCAGACTATTTGGGGGGGCGGGATTTCTGCTTGTCTCAGATAAACATATTTCTAGAAATGGCACAAGATTTGAAGCTCTTCATGTTGACTTTTATACTTTTAGGAGGTGGCAGATTGAACATCCCATTGCTTTATATATCTCTGAAACTTCCTAATGTTGCCCTTAGCACTGTTCCTGAGAATTTTACTCAAATTGGTTTGTTTTTAGGCTGAGAGGATATTCTCTGAAGTAAGAAGGATTGAAAACTACAGAGTTGAAGGCATGGAGATTTACTCTACAACGCTATGGCATCTTCAGAAGGATGTTGCACTTTCAGTTCTATCAAAAGATTTAACAGACATGGATAAAAATTCACCAGAGGTATAATATTTTGTGGTGGCATATGTTTCTGCGTACAGTTACTTCCAAAATAAGGTTAAAGATGATTAATTAATCAGAATGAACTCAGTATGTGCTAGTCTAATTTGGGTATAGTTGTGTGACAGAAGTGTCTAGTATAAAGGCTACTGGATTACTGTGTGGATCAAGGATGATACCTGTAACAATTATAAAAAGACATGTCATCCTGCAGGAACCGGCTCCATTAACCCATCAGTTATGACTTTCATTTTCATAGTGCTTTCCATCCATAAGGAGTCCCCCTTCATTTGTTCACCCCAATACGTGGAAGGGAGTGCTCTCTATTAGGGAGAAGAGAAGAGAGAGATCCAGGATTGAAGGGATTTTTATTGCCTGCTTTGCTGCTATATAAATGTCTTTCTATTACACCCTCTTTTCTGTAGTGATTAATTCACCAGCCACCTAAAATTTGGTAGCTGTCTTCTAAGCATGTAATGCGTTAATCTTAAATTCATTGATACCTCAAACAATTAGTGGTCAATAAAGGGGGCAGTTATGACTGTGTGGAAACATGGTAGTGTAAGGCTGTTGGTCCAAAATGTCCTGCACATTTTAATGAGCGCTGTAACCCATAAACTTGCACACCTATGTATTATTAGTATTCTTTTATTTTAATTTATAATTTTTTGTCCTTTACATTTATTAGAGATCAGAAAAGGTAAGAACTTTTCAGTGTATTCCTTTAGTATATTAGAAGATTGGGGGGGAAGTGAGGGTTATGGAGGATAGTACAGAAGAGGTGCAGAAAGGCTTGGGGAGAAAAAAGGAGGAAAACAAGAACCTAAAACATGAATTATTTGTTGGCAGTGAACAAGTGGAGAATAGCACATAGTAAGTAAAAGATCCAAATATCCATTAATTGCAGCTAGAGGAAATCAAAGAGAGAAATACCACCTCCTCTAATCTGATACTGGGGACCCTAAAGTCTTGATGCAGGCTGCTGTATAGGATAGGGAGTAGAGGTTTCTACTGGAATTTGGTGTCCCTGGGTGGGTTCCCCATTGCTGTGCTGGAGAGCGATGGGTGATGAATCTTGAGTGTAGCTGCCTCCAGCCTGCTGCTGTTGCTAGACCTAGAGCTGAATAGTTGACTGTCTGTTTTTAAGCTCCACATTATGTAATCCCTGTAGTATTTAACTGCTGCTGACCTTGCTGTATCTCTTAGGCTCTTGACCTCTATATCCCAGTTTCACAATGTATAAAATGCATCCCATCTGATCTATCTCCAAGGAGTGAAACTGAACTAATAGTCTTATAAAAGGGCTTTGAAATCCATGGAACTCTATGGATGAAAACTGTTGTATGCATAATCCATTATGTGTTTCGCCCTAGCTAGGGATGTTAAAAATGCATTTATTTTTGTAAACATGTAATTTTCAATGTTTACATGTGAGGGGAGGTGGGAGCCAGTGCTCATGGGGAGCAGCTTTTAAGCCGGTTCCCGGCATATGCTAGCTCCTGCCTGCTCCCCCTCCTTCCTTCCCCCCTTGCTGCTGCCTCCCAGATATCAGCAGATCTGTGGGAGCCAGCTCTCGCCTGCCCCCTTGCACTGCTGCCTCTGATACAGAGGCAGCCAGGGGATGGGGTTGCATGTATCCATGTATACAAGTACACGCTCACATCCCTAATCCTAGCAGTGGCTGGCATGCCTCCCTGCTGGCATCCAGCCTGCTAATAGTCTAAAAACACAGCTCAGTGAAAGAATACCAGTTTAAATCAATTATGTATTACTCTCCTGTTGTAGAAGGGATCTGACAGTAATATTGCAATGTTGCTTTTAACTAGGCATGGTGTGCTGCAGGAAACTGTTTCAGCTTGCAACGGGAACATGACATTGCAATCAAGTTCTTCCAGAGAGCCATTCAAGTTGATCCAAATTATGCGTATGCCTACACTCTGCTGGGGCATGAATTTGTTTTAACAGAAGAACTAGACAAAGCATTAGCCTGTTTTAGAAATGCAATCCGAGTCAATCCTCGACATTATAATGCATGGTAAGTTTTCAGTATTTTTTTGTTAATGAGAGCACCCAAGGAAGAAGTGTGTCATACTATTGACTGCTGTTACACCTTGGAAGTTATGGATAATTCTTCATTTCTGCCATTTATCTCATGAAAGTGTATGTGTCTGTTATGAGAGATCTGACAATAGATATCACCATCACTGTTGTTGGACAGTAATTAGTCTTTTTTTTTTAAATGCATGTACTACATTGCCTCATGTCCACATGGTGTCACTTATGATGATTTTGTCCCACTCCCATGTGGTTAAACATTTTTGTTTTGCTGGTACTGCAACAATTTCTCCAGAGCTGCTCTATGCCAGCTAAGACAGTGAATTTAAATCCTCTTACTGCTAAATAGAGGACAGAAAAAAACAAAGTTTTAGGTTTAGACTACCCTTACAGAATATGATCTGAGGAAGTGGGTCTGGCCCACGAAAGCTCATCACCTATTAAACCGTCTTAAAAGTCTACATAGTTTTTCCTTTTCTTACAGAAGGAGGTAGCCTGATCTGCTTACCATATTCCCATTGGTTGGTTTGGTTTGTTCCGTGGAAGGAGAAGCAATTTCTCTGGGGGGGTTTGTTGGTTGCTGCTGCTGTTGTTGTTTATCTCTTTCCACCACTTTTACCTTTGTCAGGATTATTGGATTTTAAATCAGAGTGCTTTCTTAATAAGGCACTTTTTGGTTTTTATAATTATCCTTAACACTGTTCTGGGATGGTGGGATCCTTCAGCTGCTTTGTATCCTACATCATCCAGTTGTCATGGTTTTAAATAACTGGAAGTTTAAACATAGCCAGCACCCTATATAGGCAGAACTTTCTCACAAAAGTTTCATGAGATTCCAGTCTGCAACTGGTTATAGGAAAAGCAGACTGTCTGGGCTAGCTTAGAGGATCTTGAAACCAAATTAACAGTCAAGGAGTTAGCAGTTTGAGTGCTTATCTATACATATTCAATTAATAATGTACATGCACTAATCTTCTGATTAGACATGTCCTTTGGCCCATGCCTGAATCTGTCCTCTAAATGACCTCTTTCTTCCTGAAGATCTAAAAGGATGGAAGAGGTCCAGCCCTCCTCTCGATTCTGTCTGACGTTCCCTGGCTGAGAAACAAAACTGCCAGTAGTGTCCTTTGCTCTTGTACACTTGCATAGTTAACTTTTAGAATAGTTGTAGTACAGTTTTGATAGTGTATGTTAAGTTTCTTTATTGGGAACACGTTTTAAACTTAGATGTATTTTCTGTTTCCTCTTGCCCAGTACTCAGTTTTCATGATAAAACGGAAATCCCCAATTTTTAAGCCTTGCATTTTGTGAGAAGACTATCTTCCCCCCCCCCACTCTTCAAGGGTGGCCACTCAAAATATCCATTTTGCTTAAGTGAGTGACACATCATGAGCAAATGTCTGTTTGTTCATTTTCAAAATGAATGGAAGCTAGAGAAGCTTGCTTGGAACTTTTTTCCAGGTAAACAAGATCTATTCAAATATAAAAATTCTTCTTCCAAGACTGTCCCAGTGATCACTGGCTCTGCTACCAGTTTGTGGGCTCCTACCGCTTTGATACATGCTGCAGCAGTTCTTGTTATGAGGTCTTCCTTAGAGATGCGTAGGGCTCATCACCGCTGTATGGAAAAACTAGGGCACCATCCAAGAGATCTGCTAAGAAAATGAGGTGAAGGGTAGCACAAGGCCTGTGTTCATCCTTCTGGCACCCCCACAAGACTCAGCGTACATGTTGGTACCAGCCAATAAATAGCTTCTTGCTGTTGCCCACATTGTTGCCATGGTGTATTGCCTGTCTCCTGGCAACAAGACTGGTATTGGTACGGGCTAAATCAGTACCAATCTCTTAGGCACATACCTACCTCTGCGGTATCTAATGTTGGAGGTACCAACTCAGTCTGCACTGAGCTTTGTGCTACTAAGGGATTTGAGTGTGTCCAAATGCTTTTCTAAGCCATTCGTACATTGGTATTGAGCTCTACTAAATCCTCAGCACTGAGTGTGTTTACATGGCACTGGCAAGAGATCTCCCTAAAGAAAGTAAAGGACTCCTCCTCTACATCAGCCCAAACCAGCATAGGGAGGATTCTCCTTATTACTCTCCAGTCAGGTTTGTGCCTAGGGATCTCACTCCTAGTCTTACTGGGTTCTTTGTAGTCCTCAACACATTAGAAATCCCATCTCCTCTACCCACTCCAGCATTACCTGTAGAGTCTACAAGAGTTCAACCCTGTCAGCATCCTGAGGTCCCTCCTGCTCCAGCACTGCAGGTACTGACCTTTGAGGAGCAATATCGCTCTGCTGACTTACCTACAGATGCCATTGCTTCACTCTGACCTGATACAGCTGCAGTGCTAGCTCTGCTGTCGCAGCCACATAACACCATCTCCTTAGAAGAATGGCTAGGTGAATCATTAGAGATTGCAGTAGAGATCATACATAAAACCTTCCCCCCCCACACACACACTCACGCGCATGCACATTTAGACATCCCGTGTACTTTGTTCCAGGAGAGATTAACATAACCCGTTAACAAAGATCTGTTCGAACTGGTGCAACTATGGTGACAGACAGTATACCTCCAAACATTATAGAAAATAGATCACAGGTATCAATTCTCTTGTCGGGGTCTAAATATTTTTCAAGTTCCCCTACCCTGAGTCACTTTTTATCCCCATCCAGAGAGACACATGATTCCCCAATTAAGTTTGTTCCATATTCCATGATCTAATGGGTGATGTGTGCTGGCTCACCAGTCCCTCTGACTTTGAAATTATTGAGAGAGTTCAGACCAGAAGTTGCATCTATGATACTTATGGCATCAGGTTGTTCCAGGCAGTGTCGGTACCCAGATATGATTAAACTCTCTCCATATTGCCTCCATTAATGTTGCCTCCAAGACCAGCTTCAGTGCACCTCAGAGCCTAGAGAATGGCTGGTTAACCAACATGGAATAATCTTGATCTAAAGATGTCCAGCACACTTTTTGCTTTACAGTAGAAGGGACTCCATCTGACTCACAAGGCCAAATAGAAAAAAATCAGTATTTGGGTGGAGCATCATTACCTCTTTACCTTCAGTGTCTGTTCCCATCTGGCTTTTTTAATTGTCTCCTCTCGGTAGAGATCAGAATTCTCTTAGCTTTATAGTACACCTAGTGGCCATACCTGCTCACTCACACCCAAGACAGAGTCTCACTGTGTTCTCACGTGCTAGAGTGGCTAGATTCCTTAAGGTTGGTAGTGCATGTATTCCCTTCTGTATGGGGGGAGCATGCTCCTCTCCACACTAGATCTTAGTGTGGTTTTTAGCGGAGTTTCTCTATATTAGGGGCACTCACCTTTGAATTGTTCACATCGTGCTCTGTACATTGCCTCTCTGTGGAAGAAAGCCTCCTTAGTGACAGTTACTTCAGCTTGCAGGGTAAGTGAATCACAGGCTCTCATGGCAGACCCACCATGGCCTTACTTAGATCTTCTAGCATCAGGTTCCTACTTGAGTCACTGAGAGTGGAATTCATGTGGGTAAGCACTCGAAAGGGCAGAAGGAGGCTATTTGTTTTCTAGCAACTGGGATTCTTTGTGATGTGTGATCTACAACATATTTCACAACCCACCTTCTTTATCTCCTGCTACAGAGTATTAATTCCTTCATTAATACAGAATTCAGGTAGTAAGAGCTGATTGGTCCAGTCCCACCTTCTGATGCTGTCGGTTGAAAAGGTGCAAGGGCACTTCAAGTGAAAGCCAATGGATACTGCTGGTCCAAAGATTCCACTTTCCAGTGCATGGCTATTGCTTCTCCCTGTGCAGCTCTGTATACACTTAAACTTCAGACACATTTCCTTGTCTAATCAGTGTAAAGTGCTTCAGCTACAGTTAATCAACTTCCAGCTGGGCAGAGTGAACTGTTGCCAAAACCCAGTTGTGAATTAGTAGATGCTATAGCTAGTTTGTGAATGAAAGGGTTACTGTCTGAGCGAACGTAGTCACTAGTGCCTAGAACATTAAATTTATGCCAGCCATACATGGTCTATTGAAGTCCATGGAGTTGCACCCATTTACACAAACAATGAATTTGGCCTCTTCTGTTTAGCAGAAAATGGTCTTAATTCTGCACTAGAATTACATGACTCAGATGCCAAAATTTGAAACAATATATTGGGTGCTGCTATGGTTACAATGTCAGTTTACTCATACTGCTTTATTGGAAAGACTTGCATGGCTGTATGTGAATCACAAGAACTTCATTGTTTCCATTGATCTAATCTGTCAAATTAATGTGCCAAAGACCATTTTCTTCTTCCAGTTCACACTTAATAATAAAGGCTGGTTCATGATAAATCAAACTTTATCTGACAAACTTGTTTTGCACTTGCAGGTATGGTTTGGGAATGATTTATTACAAACAGGAGAAATTCAGCCTAGCAGAAATGCATTTCCAGAAAGCCCTTGATATCAATCCTCAGAGCTCAGTCTTACTCTGTCACATCGGAGTAGTAAGTAGATTGCAATTAATTTTATACTTGTTTAATCTGCTTTTTATTGTGTGTTCCAATAGAAAAAGCTTATTGTGGATCAGACTTTTAGCAGAGGCCCTTTGTATGAGAGAGTTTTAAGGAATTGAGTACTCCCAGAGAAAAGACTTAACTGGTAACTAGCACATTGGTCCTCAACTGCTGGTACAAGGCCTGGAACTGGCAGTTGGGGCTCTTTTGACTGGCATTCAAAGCTTCCCCCACCCCACTCAACTAATAAAGGTCTGTTTTGCGCCTTGGCGCATCCCTGCCTCCTAATCTACTATATATTTTAGAGAGTTCGTTAGTCTGTCTATTCAAGAACTCCTCCTAAACAGTAAGAGCTAGGACCATTAAATTAGGTATATAGCTTCCTCTTATCTTAACTAAAAGTAAGATAAGGATTTGCTTGTGCCTGGAAAATGGGACATGCCTGGAATAGGATTGCTTCTCATAAAACAGAAAGGAACTCTGCTATATGCAGGGACAGTTATACTATATAATGACCACAGGGGGGCAGCAAGGAGCCAGAGATGGGGACTGGGACAGCTATAACCCCATTGGGGCAGCAGGGGGCAGGGTGGAGAGAAAGGGCAGCTATCAACTATAGCCGGTCCCCGACTTACGAATGAGTTACGTTCCAAGCACTTGGTCATAACTCAGTGTGTTCATAAGTCAGATTACATTCACTGACATACGGCCTCTCTGTTCGTAAGTGAGGATTTCATTCGTAACTCGGGTTCCGGCTGTATAGGAGGTTGGTCGTAAATACGAACGGTCGTAAATTGATGCATTCGTAACTCGGGGACCGACTGTATGTCTTTCAGAGAGTTTGTGTGTGTGTGTGTGTCTGTCCCCTAAGCAGGGCACATGCACTCCTCCCTGAGCTGTGCCCACATGAAGCTGCAGCGGCCATAGAGAGGCACTTCTCACCTGGCCCCCACCCTGCTGTGGTGAGGGAGGACTGGGGTTGTCCTTTCTCCCCAGGGCAGCATGCATACTGAACCCCTCTTCCCTAATGATTTAAATGAAGAAAAACAAAAACTAATTGAATTAACACCAGGTACATCTTCTAGTCATCCATATATGTGATGATCCTTAATTCTAAGAGTAGGGCTTTCTAAGCGACTTGTGCCAATTACTAGCACAATTAAATAGGAAACAGTTTCCTAGCTGATACAACCAAAATGTTACTGTGATCAAACTGGTATAGAAACTGAAAAGACAAAGATCTTGTTTTAGGTCTATCCCTTTGCCTGTGAGGGATTTTATACGACTAGAGCAAATGCTCTGTCCTAATATAGAAAGCTGTTTTTAATACATGAATCCTTAAGTGAAGAGGGATAGATGATTATCCTGATGACTGGTTATGTGGCCATCTACTGACACTTTTCTCAGTTGTGGGATGGTGGCAAACTATTAAAGCCCTCTGGTGGGCTTTTCCTTCCCCAGATTCTGCTATGTTGATGAGTGTTCTTTGTTTATGTAGAACTATTTCAGTGTTGGGGGCCAGATTACCATTCTGCTAGTCTTTGGACTGGGAGTAAAAAAATTTACTAGCAGGAAGTAAATTATGCAGTCTTATCTGAGTCTAGAATGAGCCTCTCTAGTTGAATATTGCATTTTGAAGGCACTGGATTATGTCAAATATAATTCTTTTAGTAGTCTGGCAGGTCTGATTCTGCCCTTCCTCTCATTTATTTGGAAAAAATCTATATTAACATAATTTCTGTTCTGTTGTAGGTCCAGCATGCACTGAAAAAATCTGAAAAGGCTTTGGATACTCTAAACAAAGCCATTAATATTGATCCGAAGAACCCACTATGCAAATTCCATAGAGCCTCTGTATTATTTGCAAATGAAAAATATAAGGTAAATCATAGATGCTACAAACTGAAGTCTCTCTAAATTCTTTAGGGTCTGCAGCTGTCTGAATGATGATGCATTAGAAGTTAATCGAATCTTGATTCTTATCATTTCATAATGGGAGCCATGCTTGTCTCCAAGAATATATCTTTCACTTTGATCATGCTGGCTGTGGCTGTTTAAAAGAGCTGCCTCTTCCAACTGTAATACGGCAGCAGTTGTAGTCATTCTAACGTTAATACAAATAGCTCCTTCATTTTGAAAGGAAGCCTTCTGGTATCAGCAGGGATTCTTGACTCCACTTAACAGAATCTGTATTTGGTAACCAATTGAGCATTGTATAAAGGACCGACTTCCTGTCCACAGGTGTCTTGAGGAATACTATTTATGTTGGGTGTTCTCAAATCCTGCAGGGATGCTGCTTTCAGTTTAGTGGTGGAGGTTGGTCTTTTGAAGGGGGTCTCTGACTTGTTTCCCACACCTTGTCTTAACTTTATAGACTGATAGCTCATGGGGTAGAGTCTCAACCACTAAGGTCCAGAGGTCCCAGGTTCAGTTCTGCCCACCAATGACTAGGGTCTGCTGGTGTTACATTTGTGTTTGTGTTCTCACGGTAAGAATGTAAACAAACCTCTTCAGTTATCTTTTTCAGCACAGATGAACATTTTTAAGTGTGAAATGATCTTGGTTAAAAACAAAAAATTGAAAATCTAACATTCTAGTAGATGACATTCTAGTCAATTTCACATTCTACCAAGTAGGAAACTAACTGAAGAAACCCAAAACAATCAGTATAGCTCTTGAAAGCCATATACAATTGAAAGAAAAAAGTCATTATTTAAATTTTAAAATATTTTTCTTATTCACCCTGCATTTGCTAGAATATTACATTTACATTTGATTGTGCCAGGATTGTTCACAGAGGAGTAGCCATCTGAGGTTTTTATATGGTTAAGAAGATGGCTTCCAAAAAAAACATGAACTAACTTTTTTAAGCTACCCAGTCCTAATACAATGTAATAAAAGTGGAGTGATGCAGATACTGGCTCAAACTTACTGGAAAAAACATTTAACTATTTTTTCCTCTTTTAGTCTGCTTTACAAGAACTTGAAGAACTGAAACAGATTGTTCCCAAAGAGTCTCTTGTTTACTTCTTAATAGGAAAGGTAAAAACTGAACATAATGCATAGAACTATATCTGTTATCATAAGTATCTGTGATTCCCCCTCCCCCCCGTTTGTTTCAGAGAAATAAGCTGAGGTGCTAGTTTTCCCACTGTAATGAAGCTGCTTCCATTTTGGATAGTGTTCTGAAAATTCCCACAGCCTCGTGTGCCTCACCACATACAAACTAGCAGCTGCATTTGAGATGAATTTTTGATCAAAATTGGTGTTTGAGCTTGTCCTGGTAAAGCTCTGATTCTGAAAGAATTACAGGAGACCCTTTCAATTCATGGAATTGTTATTCACGGTTCTGCATATCCATGGGAGGAAGTCTCCTGTCCTGGAGGGGAGCCTCAGGGAACTTGCCATGGCCACTGGGAGCCGCAGCTCACAGTATTCATGAATATCACCATTTATAGCGGTGCCAGGAATGCATGCACCATGAATGGCAAAGTTTTAAGAACATAAGAACAGCCAGACTGAGTCAGACCAAAGGTCCATCTAGCCCAGTATCCTGTCTGCAGACAGTGGCCAATACCAGATGGGAACACAACAGGTAATCCTCATGTGATCCCTCCCTCTCCTGTCACCCACCTCCAGAGAAACAGAGGCTAGGGACACCATTCCTACCCATCCTGGCTAGCAGCTGTTGATGGACCTAACCTCGCTGAATCTGTCTAGCTCTTTTTTGAACCCTGTTCTAGCCTTTTGTACGTCTGTTATTAGAGCCTGAATCCTGATGTCACCATGCCACCAGCATCCTCTGTCCCCACCATAACTGCACCGCTGTTGTTTAATCTTGAAGTGTGTTCTAAGGACTGTAGAACAGGTTCATACACAAATGCTGGTATAAAAACAAGTACATGATTGTGTGCATGCCTGCCGCACTTTCCCGTGAAAATATGACTCTAAAAGTACAGAGACTTTCGTCAGTATAAGAATGGTGCACTGGATAGAATCCTACCTTATCTGGGGATAGTGACCCTTCAAAGCTAGTTGTTCTTTGATGTACATTTATAGAAATCACATTCTAGTCTACCATCTAAAAGTAATATCTGCAAAATGGTATAGGATATGTAAAACACCTACATAGAATAGGCAGGTCTTCTCTTTCTTCTAAAGATGCCTACGCAACAACTTCACAGATCCAGATTATTTTGGAAGAATGAAGAGTTGAATCAGCCTTACTAAGATTTGAGCCACTGTATATTGGGCATCTACAGATTTTCAAATCTAATGCTTACACCGCTAAGCCACACAATAATACAACTAACAAAATCCACCCCATGCAACTTCCCTCCCTATTCATTTGTGTTTCTCATTTTAGATTTCTGTAGTGTTCTGTAATTGAGCCTTGCATGTTGGAGAGAAGTCTCTCTTGATCTCCTTTTTAACACTTTTACTTCTAATTAAATGAAAACTCCTGTCTACACATTTCACAGCGTATCAACATTCAGAATGTTTAACTGAGCTAAGTGGGTGCAACTATCTTTTACTGTTTCATTGATAAGTTTTGTCCTGCAGAGATTTCCATTTCTCGTGCTTCAGATCTATATACTGCACTCTGTGCCTTATGATCTAACTGCAGATAGACTAAAGTATAAACCTTCCTTCTGAAAAGTACAAAGATAGCAGTAGCCTTACCTAAGGCATAAAAGGATTATCACTGAAAAGGCTTTTTTGGGGGGAAGGAAGGAAGGGAGAGAATTCAAGTTTGTGTTCCTAGGACAAACCCCTTTTAAATTAAAAGGTGATGACTGGCCAGTAGTTCTGGTGATAGTTCTCATGAGGAAGAATATATAACATGGACAGCGGCAACATCACTTACCAATGTGCCTCAGCCTTGTCCTGCAGAGCACAAAGAGGATCACCTGAGACTCCCTCTGGTGTAGACGCTACAAAGTGGACTGAGACAAATTCATTTCATGTACAGCACCAAATAGCCATTAAATTATTGTTTTTTGGTCACTGCCAATCTGGAATGGATATTATCCAGTCACCAAGAGGAGGCTCTGTATTTGAGACATCCATTTCCTTCCTGGATGACTACTAATGCTGATGCTAATATCCATTCATCCAGCAGTCTTTTACATGATAGTAGCAGTACTTTAACGTAACTATTGGCTACAACATATTGTTGGATAAAATGCTATTGAGTAGCAACTTAATGGAAAATGTAGTGTTAATATTTTATTTTTAGGTTTATAAAAAATTGGGTCAAACTCATCTGGCCCTCATGAATTTCTCATGGGCAATGGATTTAGATCCCAAAGGAGCCAACAACCAGATCAAAGAGGCTATTGATAAACGTTACCTTCCAGATGATGAGGAACCAATAACTCAAGAAGAGCAGATCAGCGAATGTTATCCATACGAATCAGGTTTGTATTTCCAGCTCAAAATCTAAATTAACTGGTTTCCAAGTAGAAAGATTTTTATGTTCCTCAGCAAAGCAAAAGTCCAGACTATAACTGCTTACCTATTTGCACAGCAAGTGGGTTAGAGACTCAACAATTCTCTTACTGCTGATCTATTTGTATTAAGCACTTAATGAAAAATGGTTACGTCTCTTAAGAGAGCTTTAGTTATGTAAAATTAGTGTGAGGACTAGGTCCTAATAACCTACTATTATAAACCATAATTTATATAAATACTGTTAATATGGGAAGCCAGTTCTTCAGCCTGAACATTCTAGTAAAGGGGCATCTAATCCTTCAGATATCTGAGTAGTGTAACAAGCAAGGAAATGATCGAATTGTTTGTTCAAGGGCTCGGAGCAGCGTATGTGTAATGAGGTAACTTAAGCAAAGGAAAACTTGGGCTCATTGTGAAGGGAAAATGTACCTAATAGATCTGTTAGTCCTCTCTCGGGGAAAGTTTTGAAGTTGTGGAAGCCCTGTCATTTTAAACTAGTAAATACAGCATTAAAATACATCAGAATAAATCACTAAAAAATATGCCAAAGAGAATGGCCTAAATCTTTCTCCTCAAAAATATGGATGGTCATAAATATTGATGACTTGGATAAGAACTAGAAAAAAGATAGACAGTGGCAAACAAACCATTTTGTTTTCTTCATTAGGCAAAAATGTTACTATAGAACTTAAAATTGTTATCGCGCATTGTAACATTGTGTTCAAGTTTTTATCAGACTTATTGCTGGTATGTATCCCATTGACTTTAGCAACACCTTCCAGTAAAATCATAGTAGCTTGTTTTTTAACTTGCTTTTTCTTTCCTGAAATGGTAAATGGTTTGGGGTTTTTTTTTTCTTTCTTCTTTTGTTCCTCTCATGGCTGGATTAAGATTAGGACTTTAGGGGCTGCAGCCCAGGATCCTGGGCTAAGGGGAGTTCCCACAAAAAGACCTCTGGGTTGCCAAAAGTGCAGATTTTTTCTGGGTGTCCCCTTTCGTTTGGGGTCCTGGGCTGCAGCCACTAAATTCCCTACATTCCAGGCCTGCCTGGCTGGGGGAGGGGAAGGGGAAAGGAGCGAGTGAGTGGCTCCACGTGCTGCCATTTTCCCCCTCCTTGGGCTGGGATGGAGCTGCAAGCACTCACTGGGAAGCTCTGTCCATACGCTCCCCTCACCTGTAGCTCCGTCCCACAGCTTCCATTGGTAGGGAATTGTAGCTAATGGGAGCTGCAGGGGCCGGTGCCTGTAGACAAGAGCAGGGCAGTGCGCAGAGCCACCTGTCACACCAAAGGGGAACTGCCCCATATAAGCACCCCAAACCTCAGCCCCAGCCCTGAGCCTCCTCCCACACCCCAACTCACAAACAGGCCCCACACCCTAACCTCCTGCCCTCAACTCCCTCCTGTACTTCAGACATCTTGGCCCCAGCCTGGAGCTCCCTCCTGCAGTCTCAACTCCTCATCCTCAGACCTTCTCCAGAGCCCACAGCCCACTCCTGTACCCTGAACCCCTTATTTTGGCCCCATTACGGAGCCTAAGGAACCCCACAACTAGTCAAAACATTCTAAGATCTAGTTCATCTACATCCTGCAGGTGGAAATAGAGCACTTACATTCTTGAGAGGGGAAATAAGCACCACAGACATTTTGTTTTATTGGGCAATTTAGGATCCTTCTTAAATTTTTAGTAATTAAAAAAATGTCTGGTGAATTCAAGCATTTATTTATTTATTTAAAAGTAGAGCTATTGAGCACAATTAACTCAAAAAATTAATCGTAGTTTTAATTGTACTGTTAAATAGAATATAATTTAAAATGTATTTAATATTTTGGATGTTTTCTACATTTTCAAATATATTGATTTTGATCACAACACAGAATTCAGTGTATACTTCGAAGTAGGAATAAGAGATCCTCCGGAATAGGGCTTTATTCCGGAGGATCGGGCCAGTCTAGACGCTTTTTTCCCGGCTTTTCCCCAAGCCGGGAAAAAAGCGGCGGACATGTTTATTTAAATCCGTGGGGGATATTTAAATCCCCCGCGGATTTCCCTATTCCCACTTTCAAAATTAGCATGCCCCTTCCGAAAAAGGGGCCAGTGTAGCCGTAGCCGTACTGTAGTGCATTCTCTTGTATGGTGAAAGTGCAGTTTACAAATGAAGGTGGGTTTTTTTTCTTTGTTTGGTTACATAACTGCTCTTAAAAACAAAACAGGGTAAAACCTTAGCGTCTACAAGTCCACTCTCTCCTATCTCTAATCACTTAGAGAACCAAGCTTATTAACATTTATGGGAGATAATGCATCCCTCTTCTTACTTACAGTGTCACCTGACAGGGAGAACAGGCATTCCTATGGCAATTTTGTAGCCAGCAATGCAAGGTATTTATATACCATATATGCTAAATAGTTGTATACCCCTTTCATGCTTTGGCCACCATTCCAGGGAGCATTATTCCATCCTGATGATGCTCGTTACAAAAATAATGCATTAATTACATTTGTGACTGAACTCTTCAGGGGAAAATTGTCTGTGTCTTGCTCTGTTTTACCTGCATTCTGCCATATATGTAATGTTAAAGCAGTCTTGGATGATGACCTAGCACATGTTTGTTTTAAGAACACTTTCGCTGTAGATTTGATAAAACCCAAAGAGAGTACTAATGTGAAATTTCTAAAGATAGCTACATCACTTGACCCTAGGTTTGAGAATCTGACATGACTTCCAAAATCTTAAGAGGGATTCTTTCAGAAGTCTTAAAAGAGCAACACTCTGCTGCAGAAACTACAGAACCTGAACCAACGGAAAATAGAAACAACCTTCCACTGGTTATATCAGACTCAGATGATGAAAATACTCTGCTTTGGACTGTTATTGAACACAACCCATCATAAATGTTCTAAAGAACAGTGGTTGAAGCATGAAGGGACATATGAATCCTTACTGCGTTTGGCATGTAAATATCTTGTGGTGATAGCTACAATAGGGCCATGTAAACACATGTTCTTGTTTTCACATGACATAGTAAACAAGAAGCAGGCAAATTGTTTCCTGCAAATGCAAACAAACTTGTTTGGCTGAGCAATTGGCTGAACAAGTAGTAAGACTGGGTGGACTTGTAGGCTCTAAAGTTTTACATTTGTATTTTTAATGCAGTTTTTTGTACATAATTCTGTATTTGTAAGTTTAACTTTCATGATACAGAATACATAACAGGTTGAACCTCTCTTGTCCACACCCTTGGGACCTGATGGGTGCTGGACCATGAGATGTCAGTATTTCTTAGCAGCATTATGAACACTTCCACTGTTTACTGGGCTCTTAAAAGACATTTAGGCTATGTCTATATTGCACCCTTCTTCCGCAAAAGCTTATGCAAACTAAGCGAGGAGCAGAATATCACCGTGCTTCATTTTCATAATTAGGGGCCTTTTTTGCGCAAGAGGCTTTTGCACAAAAACGGCCCCTAATTAATTATTCAAATAAAGCGTGGCGATATTCTGCTCCTCGCTTAGTTTGCATAAGCTTTTGCGGAAGAAGGGTGCAGTATAGATGTAACGTTAGGGTAAATTAGAGCTAAATAACAGCACAGAACAAAGGAGATCCAGGACTGGTGGCTGTAAAACTTCATGGGACTGAGAGAAACTTGGCCACACCCATGACAAGTGGACATCTGACTAACTAATATCATGCTGGACCACTGATGTTGCTGGATGAGAGTGCCAGACTAGAGAGGTTCAAAAGTAAATGATGCTGTATTCTGTGTTGTAAGTTAAATAAATTTGAAAATGTAGAAAAACTCCAAAATATTTGAAATGAATAGTATTCTATTGTCTTATAATGCAATCAATTGCTTTACTCGCATAACATCTCTAAAAATGTCTTCCAAATGTAAACCAATGTTATCTTGCTGACTCTGCAGACTGAGAGAGAGAGACTTCAAAGGTCTAGTATCAGAGGGGTAGCCATGTTACTCTGAATCTGCAAGAATTACGAGAAGTCCTGTGGCACGTTATAGACTGACAGATTTATTGGAGCACAAGCTTTCGTGGGCAAAGACCCACTTCGTCAGATGCATGTCATGCATGTGACGAAGTGGGTCTTTGCCCACAAAAGCTTGTGCTCCAATAAATCTGTTAGTCTATAAGGAGCCACAGGACTTCTTGTCGTTCTTTCAAAGGTCTGAACTCCCAAGTGACCATTTTAGTACGTATTGAGGCTATTGTAGTTAAGACAGCATAAACTTTTTAAAACATGTTGGCTATCACATTCTAACCCACCTTGAAATCCTGGTCTAGGCAAGGTCCTTAAAGTAAGCTTTAAGAAAGGGACCGTGTCTTGCTTCTGGGTAGTGCCCTGCATATTTCTGGGTATTAAGAAAGGACAGCCTTCTCCACGGACCACGCATGATTCACTCCTCACTTTACTTGGCATAAAGAAATTTGGAAATTCAAAGAAAGATGAAGGCACTTTCATAGTCCTAAACTGAGCTACTTAAAATTTACCTGTAAGCACAATCAACCTGCTTAGAATGTGACTACCTTCTTTACTATTTATCTTGATTTACTGCTAGTTTTTACAAGGGCAGAACTGAGGAGAATTATTTTATTTTGGTGATTGCCGTGAATATTGAGGGGTTTTAGGTCTACCAAAGTAAGTTGTATTTCCATACCATTCTCTGGACTATGTCTGTGTACAAGCTGAATGAGAGCAGATAAGGTGCACGCATATTAAGTCCCTTCTCAGCTCTTCTACTTCTCGTTAGGCTGGCATGGGTCACTCGCTGTAGGAGAAAGTGAGTGGGATTTTGAAGAGGAGGGAAGTGGATTTTGAAGAGGAGGGAAGTTAGAAAAGACAATCGAGGGAGGGGGCAGTGGGAAAAGGTTATTGGTGGAAGGGGGTGGGAAGTGGAACCGTCTGTATTTATAAGCTTTGGTAGAGCCTTGCCACTGTTTTCTAATAAGGTGGACTTGCTTGTGTGAGATGTGCGTGTCTTCTCCCAAAGAACCTAACCCCTTGTTTGTTTTGAAGTTGGCACAGATGAATCCCAAGAGAGCAGCATGACTGATGCAGACGACACACAACTCCATGCAGTTGAAAGTGATGAATTTTAACCTCCAAAAGCCAGTGTCTGAGCTTGGACTGCTACTGTTGTGTTCTCCCCTTCCTTCACGTACTGAGTCTTCACATCACTGAGCCAGCATTGTCATTGTTCTCCACAGACCATGAGAGCACCACTCATCAGATTTTAACCGTACACAGAATTAATGGCAGTGCAATATTCAGCTGCTACTGAGACTGACCAGTTGGCTCTTGTTCCTTTATGAAAATGACTATTTGAGAAGGAAAAAGAGTTTTTTCCAACTCCTTTGTTGGAAAGCTATCATGAAAGAAAGACTTGTGGCTTGCTAAAAGTGAGCCAATAGATGTGGGAATAGAACAAGAAATTGCTTCCTTAGTATTTTCTCCAGAAATGTGTCTTAGTTTGGTTCTTTCTTGGTAAGCGGAGTGCTGAACTTCATTTCTAAGTTCTTCAAAAACAGCATTGAGTGCAGGCTGGGACACATTAAAAACTTTTGCGTATTACAGTGTAACTTAAATGCCAGGGAATGTAAATGACCTTAAAACTACAGTGTCTCCAGTGAACAAACTACAGAGCACATGCTTTGGATTCAGAGTGTGTGTCAAAATATAGAATATCCAGTGTCCCTACTTAGTGTAAACTTGCTCTTTCCCAGAGGAGCACATTACAGCATAGCAGTTATTACACAATGCTTTAATATTCTAGCCAAGGGTTAATTTATTCCTCTAACTTCCAAAATGTTAATTGTCTACTTAGTACATCAAAGAAACAAGTCATTAGTGTGTTGCCTCTTTGGATCTGGTTCTAATTTTCAGCGAATAAAAAGTTTGTTGTAAGAGCAAAATAGAGACAGGTAGATAAAATTGTAATGTTGAAAGGATAAAAGTAATATAAGCCACAGTGATAACTTGTTTCTAAGTAGATAAAGACCCAACACAGTGTAAGCCTTAACACAATCAGAACCTTACAGTAAGATGTATCAAATATTTGTCTAAGACCGTATCCTTTTAAAACTATTTTGTAAAGTATTGTCTGAGCAGGATGCAAAAATGTGCATTATCTTATTTTTTTAATCCATTCTTTAAGATTCTTGGAGAAAATTCTCACTCTGTCTGTAAGAATTCAGTGACCCGGAGACTGTTTCTGTGAGAAGAAAGCAAGGCTATATTAAAGAATCCAAAATTATCCTTCTCGGTAGCGCTCTGCAACAAAGATTGGCGCCCTTTATGCAGTGACCGTAAAGAAAGTGTATGATATCAGTTTTTTAAAGAGCAAATTATGCACAATAAATTGGGAATGATTCAAAATTCACAGCAATGTATTTGTTGTGATCAGTCTTAAAAAGTGTCCTCTTCCTTTTCTTTTCATGTATATTTTTAGAAGACCTTTAGTTACCATTAGTAGAATTTTTTTAATTGTTTTTAAATATTTTTTTTTAGTGTCCTTGTCCTAGAATAGGTACAAACAATGTCTTGTCATGCCTATTGTTTGGTTGTAAGAAGCACTGACTGTTTTTTTTTTTTTAACCATAAGGAAAAAATAAATCACAACACCTGCACAAAAAATATCATTCTCCATTATTCTAAGTACATAAACAAGCAGTGAAAAATAGGCTGAACTCCAGTCATAGCGAAAATCTTTAAAATATGGGGGACTGATATTGGATGAAGCTTTGTGCTTTTGTCAAGTCAATACTGTAAATCTGTTTATTTCTGAAAGTGAACTAAGTCTCATTATAAATCATGCAAGTGTTTCAGCTAAGTGAAGAGTGCACTAGATGCAAGAATTTTGGTGCTAAAAAGTATTATGGATAGGCTCTTGCATGATAAACCATGATTTAAAAGGAAAACACCAGGGTTGAAATTCCCCAGTGGCCAACCTGCATCTATAGTTAAGTACTATCATTTGCCATTCGTGTGTCCTACTCACTTAAATTTCCTGTGGGTATGTGGTTTTCTTTCTTTTCCCTCCCAGTCTTTAAAGCAGCTGTAGCAGTCCCAAGATTCACACTTCCATAATAGGTTTCTACAAGAGTGAGTTACAAAGAAACAGCGCATTGTATAGTCTAGACCTACAGTTGGCGTGAACATTAGCTGCACAGTATAATTGGCTACCTTTTGGTTTATGTTCTCTAAACAAAAAGCAGTAATCTCTCTCTTCCCATTACCCATTTACTTGAGCTGACTTGAAGCAATTAGGTCTTGCTGTTGGATTAAAGGGACCCTGACAAGGTTTTAGACCTCACTTTTGATTTGGTGTTTTTTTATTCTTTGTCTGGTTTCCAACAGCATGTGCTAATTTGGGGATTTTTCCCAAAATAAATGCTTCTTGTTTATTTGGGAACCAGGGATGGAAAACAGCAAATCCCCTATATGGGGGGAAATACCTTGAGTTTCCTTTATTTCAGTTTAATTTTTTAGCATTTTTGTTCTCTAAAAGTTGTAAACTGTTGTATTGGATTTTTTTTTTTTTTAATACCCGGCAAAGGGCTCTTAACTCAGATAAGATTTTAAAAGGATGCAAATTCTAAACTGAGCATTAGTGCTCAAAATATTAAATTATCCCCTGCCTTATATGTGCATGATCACTTACATTTTATTTTTCTCAAGAATTGCATGTAATGTTTAAAACCATGCTGCTATTTTACCTTCTTCAAAACAAAACATGAAAACCAGTATTTTCATCAACTAACTTCTCTGTTCTTTGAGGAGCAAGGGAGGCAAAGTGTGGCAGCGCTCTGACACCCAAACTAGAGCAAATGTGTTCACTGAAGAATTAGGAGATTGTCGTTTATTAATACAAAAACATGAGAAAATGCAAAGTGTGGGTGTGGTGTGTACTATTTGCATTGAAACAATGTAATTTTTGTCTTTTTTCCTTTTTATTTTTTTGCTTTTCCTGACTTTTATTTCAGAAATTGTACAGTCTTAGAAAAAAGTCTTTTCTGTTAATATATTTGCAATTCATTAAAGGATGTGGAAAATCCAAATAAACTACTTTTAAAAGGAGTTTTATAATCAGGTGCTCAGTGTTTAATGTCTGGAATGATCTCCCCCATATCTCCCCTCCCTGCCAAGAAGCAGATGGCTCACTGAGTTAACACTTTGCTCATTGAGTTAAATAGGATTTCTTACCTGTGAGGTGTTCGAGTGCTTGTTCACATCGATTCCAGTCAGGGGTGTGTGCATGAGCATCAGAAACTTTCCCCATCAGCTCCCGTAGGGTCGGCTGTGGAGACCCCCAGAGTGGCGCTGCTGTATCCACGCATATATACCACAGCTGACCCTGCCCTCCCTTGGATCCTTCTTACCGTCCATGATAGCGCTGGAACATCCTAGCTCTTGCCTTGGCAAGTGTCTAGACCCTAGCTCTAGCTCTTCATTGTCATCTTCATTCATGAAAAATAGCAGTGTCTTCAGCGTCAGCAGATGGCAGGCAAGTGCCCCAAAACTGTAGCCCCTCTGGGGCACCAGGGCATTCCAAACACCCCAGGCTTTAAATCGTGCAGTTTGCCCAACAGTGATCTGCATGACATGCGCCTTCACTGTTAGGGTGAAAAATACCATGCTGAGTAGTACAGGCTCCAGCAGCTTCTTATGGAAGCGGCGCTAAAACCCCTCAGGCTGAGAAGTCAGCACCTGGAGCCAGGTCAGTGCCGAGTGCTCTGGCCTCCTTGTGTGATGGATCACGCTGAAACTGAGCACAGCCAAGCACTCCCAGCACCAGGGTTCCCCAGAGCCAAAGACATTGGTGCCAAAGCACAGGTCCACCTCACCGGCACCGCAAGGCAGGAGGGAAGACTGGGTAGATCCTCTCGTAAGTCTCAGCTGAGGCAGGACCAAATGCATTGAAAGTCCCCATCGCGAGACATCCAGGTCGTGACGTTGACTCTAGCCCTGAGACCAGCACCTTCGAGCCCGGCACGTGGCCTGTCACGGAGGAACATAAGTCCAGTGCAGATCCTGAACTCTCCCTCAGTGCGTGATACCTATGAGGCAGCCTGAGACCTCAGATTTTGAAGGCCAAGGCATCCAGGGTGCGCGATAAGCCCACCACTCAAGAGGGGAAGCCAGTAATGCTGCATAGACCACAGTACACAGAATGCCACGTGGACAGGTAATCCTCGTTGGGGGGATTGCCTCTGCTGGTACAGTGCGCACCTCCACCGGCACTGACGGAAGGCCCGGCACAGATTCCCAGGGCAGCACTGGGCGACCGGCACTCAGTGCTGAGATCGGCCTGGATCAGGAGATCAAAGTCCAGAAGTGCTCAGCACCATTTGGGGTCCAGACTTTCCCGATACTGCTCAAGGTACCCAAGGAGGTCTTAACATGTGGCACCAATGTCAACACCAACTTCATTGGCACTGCTGTGGTCAGCGGAGTCAGAATCAAATACAGTGTTGACCCGTTCCCCCCGGAGCCACTCTGGGCATGGCAGACAGGACCACTTGGCACTGTGGCAGCAGCATGGGCTGCCACCTGCACAGTGGCCTTTCTGGACACCCTGGGCCATACCATCAGTCCCAGGGTGTGCCTAGGTCAACGGCGTCGATGCATCACAGGTCCCGGTCCCCATGGGATAGGTGCCATTTGAGGACACCCTCGGCAACGGAGTCCTGTCCACCGAGACATGATAGCCCACCACCTGAATCCCGGGATCAGCCACACAGGTCAGGGCACCAGATGGCACGGGGTGTGAGACGCCAAGCCAACAACCCCCCCAGAGCTCGCAGAGGATGCTGTGCGATGCTATTCATCCTCGTCCCCATGACGAAGTAGTGGTGGACAACTCCATGTCTGGTCGACCATAAGGCTTATCAAGAATTATTATGCCGGGTTGCCCAGAAAGCATGAATCTCACTGTGGCAGAGATACAGGAGCCAGAGGACCCTATGGTAGACATTGTCACAAAAAGGACCATCTAGGGTATCTCTGCCAATTATAAAGACTATACAGTTGAACTTTACGAACTTGTGGCAGATCCCAGTGGCCTTCCTGCACAAAAGCGGGGTGGGTCTGGGTTTTCTTGTACTTGCGCGATTGTTTGCTGAAAGCAACCTCTGGAGAACAGCTTCATGAACACGTAGACCTCACACTAGAGTTGTTCAAAGCTCTGGGCATCCTCTTCAACAGAGAGAAGTCAGTCCTGGGTCCGGTGCAGAGAATAGAGTTTATAGGGGCAACCCTGGACTTGACTGAAGGGAAGGCTTCTCTGCCCGCATCCCAGTCTCAGGCAATTCAGGACTTGATATATACCCTCACCCAGTGCTCTGTCACAACAGCAAGGACGTGCCTCGGACTTCTAGGTCACATGGTGTTGTGTTGCCATGTGATCAGATATGCGTGCTTGCACCTCAGACCCCTCCACGGCTGGTTCACCTTGGTCTGTATACCCATACATAACAGTCTGGATGTGGTGGTGTCTATTCACCACGGGGTGGTAGCATCTCTCAGCTGGTGGATGAACCAGGGTGGCATACCTGGCCAAATGGAAAAGGTTTTCTACCTGGTGTGTGGAGTGGGATGTCGTTCTCCTCCCCCCAGGCAGATGCCCATTCCAGTAGTGTTAGAATACTTATTGCAGGGCTCAACAAACTATACAATGTACTTGCCCGTGGCGAGTAGATTTCAGCTGCGCGCCCCGTTCATTTGCGGCGCGCACATGCTCAATGTGGCTCTTGCCCAGGCGCAGTACGGGGCTGGCAAGCGGTTTTTGCCATTTGTCAAGCCCTGCTTATTGCACTTACGGACACAGGGTCGGGCGCCCTCTTCCATGGAGGTGCACTCAATGGCTGAGTCTGCTTTTCGCCCGGGTTGCTCCCAGCAGTCCCTGTTTGGGCTCCCCGTGATAGCTCACTTCAGGAAGGGGTTGAACAGGTTGTATCCGTATTATCAGGGCTCGCCAAGCAGCGGCGAGCTCCACTCACCGGCCACGCGGTTCTGCGAGCTGCACATGCACAGATCGTGCGGCGCCGGCTGTGCCGGCTTGTAATCTACTCGACACGGGCGAGTAGATTACATGATTTGTCGAGCCCTGTGTATTATCATTCTCCTGCACCAACTTCAAATGTAAACCTGGTGCTCAATAAACTTATGGATCCACCCTTTGAACCTATGGCTGAGTGCTCTCTGCTCACCTTTCTATGAAAATGGCCTTCTTGGTGGCTATTACCTTGGCAAGGAGTGTCTGAGTTGGGGGCCCTCTCCTCAGAGCCCCCACATATGGTTTTCCACAGGGATAAAGTGCAGTTCGGGCCGCACCCATCCTTCCTACCACAGGTGGTCTCCGAATTCCGTCTAGCTCAGGAGATCTTCCTCCTAGTCTTATCCCAAACCACACTCTAGCGCTAGGCAGAGAGTACTGCATACACTAGACAGAAGAAGGGCCCTAGCCTTTTACATAGATCGTACTAAGCCACTTCGAAAGTCCACACAACCATTCGTGGCAATAACGGCGTGAATGGAGGGGGACCTCATCTCTGCACAACGCATATTGTCTTGGATAGTAAGGTGCATACGCACCTGTTATGACCTAGCAGGGGT